TAACCCCGATCATAAGATGTATCTTCTACATCATCATCATCATCATCATGTAGCTAACGGGCCATGAAGGCCCAACGCTGCCATCATGAGATGGTTTCTTGACGAATTCGCTTCCGGGACGGGTCGTCAATCCGTCGCCGGAGTATAATATCTTCTACATATAAAATTTAAAATCTATTTTTATTTTTTATACTCATGTAATTGCGTTTAACACTTTGTAGATAAGTCAAAATCAATAACAACAAAATAAATTAATCAATCAATATTTTTCTGCACTATGAAAAACTAGTTTAAATTTTCAAACAAAGCGGCATTAATTGCAAACGTATGACAGCGTTATTTTACACTTGGACGTTAACATATATATGTATTGTATCGATAAACCATGTATTGTATGTATAAATCGATAAAATTTACAATATTCTTTTTAAATAATAATTATGAAGTTATTATCTATTCACACCTTAAGGGCGTTGTGTAATTTAGAAACTATGGTGAGTGAGAGGAAATGAATCACTGGCCGCCGATTTCGCGAATGATACAATCGCATAATACAGGCAAGATCATTTGGCAATTTCGAACCCAATAAAACTGCTAAAATAGGTTAAAGCCGTAAAAAAAACTAGGTAGAGAAACACGGAAATATGCATTGTCATAATAATATTATATATAAATATACTAAATTACACAGAATATAATATTTTAACTTTTAGTTATTGATCATTACTACTGTATACAAAAGGTGTAAAATAATATGATGAAATTTAAAAGCGCATTAGTATTTTACGGTATGTACATATTCTATTATCATATCTGAAAATTGCTCGTGTAGACAATACTCACTACTCTCATGCAAGCATCATATTGTGTCCTACGTAATAAATCAATATATCCCACACATGAGTTTTGCGTCAAAAACCTGATATGGCAACTGCAGTAGGTTCAGGAACATTAAATTATGACTATTAAGTATTATGTAAATTGAGTCACAAGGATTTGACAAACGTAATAGTAATTGTTGTTGTTATTTGTTTTAATTACATACGAAAAAGTACTTAAAGATAAGAAAACAAGAACGCTCTTGGATATTCACATGATTTGTTAGAATGTTAATAATATAACAAATTACTAAACATATAGGTATCTATTTAATAGCAAAATTCTCTGAAATTAGGACAATTTTAGTACTAGAAAGAATGTGACTTTCCGTTGTAATTTGATACAATAATAATAAAGATTTTATATAATATTAGTATTAGTATTAGTATTAGTTGATCAATTATTAATTAAGAATTGATATACTTTCCTTAGACCCAGGAGTAAAGGTAACTAAAACGCCACTTGAAAAAACAAAGCCCTTCCAAGTATTTAACATTCAAAGTACATCTCCAAAATGTTAACACCCAAAAAGCATTATTAATAATTTTAAATACAGTGGACTCACGGTAATCCGGCAGATATCAGACCAGGGTACTGCCGGATTAGTGGAGGTTCATTAAGAAAACGAATTTTAATAGCAAAACCAATGTTTATTGTTTATTATACTGTACATTTTGGTATATAGTTATATATTGTATTTTATATATTATAATAATAATTATATTAATAATTTTACAATTCTTGTAATACGATTTTGCCGGGAACATCTCAGAATTTGAAGGATTACAATTAAACTAATTTGAAGTGAGAACGCCTGCATAGTTTTCAAAGCGTTGTTTTTCTAATTAATCTGTGACGTCTGGATTGGGTTTTAGTATAAAGTAAAACCCTCTAAACTTCCTTTTTTTATCATGAAAACGGGTAACCTTTAGTGCAATCAAATACTAAACGAGAGTTCAAAAAATACCAATAGGCCTAATTTAATAGATACATTGCTGAAGAGCTGGTTATAAGCATACTTACTAATAAATGCATAGAAAGTTTCAATTGTAGAGATATCTATATTTATTAATTTAATGAAAATGTGTTAATAGATGTAACCACCAATTTTCATCTATAAAGTGATAATTTTAAATTAATTAAATATAGGATTTCGACTGTATAAATCTTTTTAGAAAGTTTATACATTTTAACGTTGATTTTTATCCGTAATAGCATTCGCGCATAATGTTGATCACTACTGCATATCGTTATGCTTCTTACATAAATGTAATTTTAATTTTTACACATTCTCCTGTTCTTTTATAATTGGTATAATCTATAATTTATTGTTCTGCTAAATTTGTTTTTCAATTAGTTAAATGATACACGATAAATTCCACTAAAATACTTAAAAAAGAGTCTTAAGTCTATTATTTCACTGCCATTAATTTGTAAATATAGGTTTAACACTCGATTACGGGTAAAACAGTATTCACCACACTGCTATAATGATTGTGGAAGCTGCACCATTTGTAAACTGAAATTTACAAATAAAAAATCCAGTACAGTGCAGTGGGGTCGGGAAATTGTGGGGACGGAGCTTATTGGAGAATGAAGCGTGTGTGGTCACAGGTCTATATGAATTGTTATTATTAAAAGTAATAAAATCACTTTTAAGTTAATGCTTCGATGCGAATCTGTATTGGTAGCAGTACAAATGTACTTCTAAAATGTCCCCTTCTAGGGGAGAGGAGTAGTGATATATTTTTGGTTTTCGTTAACGTTTAACGATGTTAAGAATATTTCTTATAAATGTAAAACTATTTGACTATTTTAAAATAAGTTATAGAGACTGTTATTTTAATTAGAAAAATATGTACATTTTTGGGGTGATTTTCTCAATTTTGAATGGGAAGAGGTAAACATTTTGAAGTTTTGTCCCAATAAAGTTCCTTTCAGGCACGATTTCTGATCTGTAGTGTTGCTACACTAAGAAATCGGTTCAGCGGATTAGAAGATATCAAAGGTCCAGACACATTGTAAAAACAAAACTGTATTATTTTCTTAGAGTTAACATTAATATTTTGCATAGATATAAATCATAATTACTATTGAAATTCTTTAATTACTCGTTCAGTATATCTTAAGCTCACTCTGACGTCACAACTCATAATAAGTCAGGGGTTCAAAAACACAGTATTAAATATTAGTGTTGTCAATACGCTAAAATTAGATCTCATCTCAAAACCATCAGCGCAGATATGTTGCTATCGTTAATTTTTTTTTAATGTAGTTTTTCATTAATTTTAAGAACATTATAGACTATAAATATAGACACAAAAATTATTACGATTAACCAACAAGCTCGTTTTACGTATAAGATTTATACCATACGATCAAAATGTATGCACAAGTTTTTATGTATCAGCAACACTGTTATCCAATACTATGTTTTTGAACTCCTGACTTGTGGTTGCGGTTACGCTAAAGTGGGTTCATAATGAATTGAGTGAGTTATATACACCGATACGTAAGAAGTCTTATAAGTACAATAAAACGTTTTTGTTTATTTTAGCAGCCCGAATTAATTTTTTGGACCTATGAATTCTTTTGATGGATATAGTTTTGATTCTTGTGACACTTCTATCTTACAAAAAAATAAAGTGTAGATGTGCAAAGGCGGGCGCCCGCGTATGTCGATAACGGCGATGGCCAAATGTCTATAGCTCACAAACTAAATTCTTGCAGATTCGTAATCAGCATTTAATGTAATATCTATTAAAAAAAAAATCGAAAAAACGGGTGCTCGGTTAAGTGCATTTGTTCTCAAATACTAAACATTTTTTAATAGGGATACGACTGGGACATTATATGAGTATGATATTTTTGACTCTTCGTCATTTATGTTTTAAAAGTTGATAGACATTGGTGGAGATCCGGGGGGGGGGGGCTTGGTATACTAAAAAACCTTAAAACATAAAACCAATGCTTTTTAAAATACCTACCCTTTTTTTTAGTAAAAGATTTGTTGAAATAAAAATAAATATAACATTTATTTTAAGTTTTAAGGTTTTTTAAATCTCAAGCCCTTCCTGATCTCCGCCAATGTTGATCAAAAAAAAAAAATTAAAGATTGAAAGTTGTCTAATATTGTATAATATTATAAACTATCGTGTCCCCGAAAAGAAAAAAACTATAAAATTGGAATTAGTTAAGAGAAATCGAGTGTGTTATCCTTATGAGTCATTCTGTATAGGTGTTTCGACGTCCTCGTAAATATTATATTGTTATTATTTTATGGTTTCGAAACGATTATTTATGGGTCATAAGTTAATGAAAATATGAAAAAGGTCACACGATTAAGATCTTATATTTGTTCTTATGTAACCCTTTATCACAATTATTGTCGCATTAACGTAGCGCGTTCAATATAGATTTATCACACAAAAACAAGTAGTCCCTTAAACGCTCAACGGTTATCACGTCGTGCGCCGTTTGTACTTAATTGTTGTTTTGTCTTTTTCCTCGTTATTATTTTAATTATATCAGTATTTCTTTCGCGACGGTACGCGGGCACCCGCGTTCCTCTATAATAACTCTTTTTGACTGCAACTCCGGTCGTCCGTGCTGTCAAGACGACGAGGAGTCACATTGTTGCGATTTGTTTTACGCAATTGCCGTGCACGCAACAGTCCGTGATATTCCATAAGACCTATAATAGCGGCATATCACATAGTGGTATTATAGCCGTCGAGATGCCGGTGGTGGTAACAGCTGCATGAGCATGGTACAATAACGAGTGGCGGTGGGCGCGGTAGAAAACGACAGCGAGGGCCGAACGAGAGACGGGTATGGAAGAAGGTACGCGGCCAAAGACGGTAGGTATAATAGTGTATAACATGGTCGGCGAGCGAGAGACTTTAACGACCAGGCTAGCATCCATCCGGAAAGTTGTCTGGAGAACAGAAAGACCCACTCCTCTTCTACGCGTTCCCTACCACGTGGTGAGAGCAAACACGCGTGCCTCTTAAGTATCTGCCTGTGTGTATATGTATATCGTCATTACCGCAATCTGGTATTTCAACTTTCTTTTCGTAACGGCTCCGTAACCGTCTACCGTCTTTGCGCCAGACCGCCGTCATTCGTTATTCGTCAGTCGGCCCGGTTTAAATTTTTTTTTTTAAAATTCGGTTTTGAATTTGTTATTATTTTTATACGGCCGTTTTTTTGCTGTTTGTTTTTTCCCCATACACACATCGTTCGCAAGTCTAGCTCGCGGCTATACGTACATCGTCGTACGCAAAGTCCATCGTCACGCAGCCGGTATACACATAGGTACGTTAAACGTTGTATTGTAGTTTTGTGATAATTATTATGCCAAAAACGGCAAAATCCGAGAAAAAAAATGTTTTTTTTTAAATTTTTTGTTATAAACCACCACAGACTACCTACGTTTGAGTGGTCTAGACTGAACTCGATTGTTGTCAATACGAATCCAACAACCGTTGTTGTAACGCTATCCGAACGTTTGTGATCCAATGATTATTTATTTTATGGTAACAGTACATCATATTATAAAAATATAGTATATCGTATTTAGAACAAAGTGAGGAGGTTGGCGCAAAATCCGAAAGACCGACATTGCCGAAAATGTTTAAATGCATATTTAATAACCATAATTTACAATTAGATTATTCTAAGATGACTGTTCAAATTATTTTTAAAAAACGATATCAATCTTATTAAAATAATATATATATATATATTTATGACGTTTGGCTCAGAATTATATAAATTGGAACGCATCGGATGATGTCATTTTTTAAAAATACCAATGGAATAGACTCGAACCACTGACAATTTAAAGATAGATATTATTAATAATACTTGCACATGATGCGATAATAAGATTATATATTATTATTATAATTTTAAAAAGTATTCTATCAATAGGTCTTGAGTAAATATATTATTTAACGTTATAAGTATTCTACAAGTATCGAAATACATACAAGTATTGTTGCACAGTGAAAGTAGTTTCTATGGGTAGCGCTTGTATATTGTGAATGATCATTTTTAGTATATTATAGGCACATGTAATTATTATTGATTAAACAGGAGTTTCCATTAAAAAAGCTAGTAACTTTATTTAAAAGTTTACTAAATTTTGTGGGCGCTTTGTTGTTTTTTTTTTGTCCAGTTTTCACAGAATAAAATATGTGTGCACGTAAAAAACGAAACATTATATTTTTTCACTTTTGTAGTATTATATTCGAGTACGCATTTGACAAAATTATTATTATTATGTCATAAAATGTCTGATAAACTAAAAAGAGGGAAACCCATTACGTTAACACCACGCATGTAATTATTTTAATTGTACATAAACTGGTCGATATATGGGTCTTATTATTTTCACTAACCGGTAAAACAATTATTAATGCGGTTAAAATTCCCTGTCGTATAACACAATGACATAATTACTATACCTAGTTGTTATTTCAATGAGCTACAACTATTAATATTCAAATTCCAAAACCAATTAGATGTTAAAATTGTAATTACATTTTTCGCATGTTCATTTGTTGGTCAGGACCTTGTCTACAAAGTTTTTTTAATTTATGAGCTGAACAACTAAAGATACGTATAAAAATGCTAAATAATCTTAATATATAAAATATAGTACTTAAATTCCTCTATACTATATTATATTATTCCATTTTTGTCTACTAATATAGGTACTATAAATAAATAAAATCAATACTGTCAGTGATGCCAGTATCTTGCCTAATACTCTTCTATTTCTATTAGGTCTGTAAATACATATTAATTTTTTATAGGCATTGACCTAAAATTGTACTTTAAATAATTACTAAATCTGAATACTTATATCATATAATAAAAACTGAATAATTAATATAACTCTACTAAATAAAAGAGCATATCATGTTTGGTAGTTTTTATAATATCTGGCCTTAATCGATTTACTGGCTATATTTATTAATATTTAAAAGTTTAAGACTATCCTTATATATCCTAATATATCCTTATATATCCTTATATACCTACTTATAACCTAGTTAGATGTACCTAATTTGGAGTACCTAATCTTTTATCCCTTATATCTTATCTTTAAACTTTTATCTCTTATCTTTAATATCTTATCTCTAATCTCCTATCTCTCATATATTATCAGATAATTATTTATCAACCGTTAGATCGCGCTACACGCACATATTTTCTACGGTAACGTTCAGCGTGATGCACAGATTTTCTTATTGACCCCCAGCCAAAAGACATATCCATGTCAATATTTTTTTATTAAATATAACCATAAGTTTCTCAAGTTGTTTCCAAGTCAACCAGTCATCACACGTGTGGAGTACGAGAAATCGATAAGTATAGCTCTAAGGGTCAAACACTCAAACCATCTTCAGCCGTTATTCAGTTATGCAATAAACACAGTGGCGTAACTTTGAGGGGGGGGGGGGTGGCAGGGGGCAGCTTTCCTTCTGCGTATTCTATTTTAGGGCATTTTGTACGGTTTACTATAAACACGTTAAGGTTAACATGTAATATAGGTGCATAAAAATGTCCCTTCAGGCGCTTTAGTCTCTAGTTACGCCACTGAATAAACACAAATGATATTTCAGTGTTTTAGTACATACCTACTTGATAATATAAGTAAAATAACTGAACGTACAAAACACACGTTTAGCATCGAACACGTTTTGTAGTATTTCCGTGGGGCCGTGTATCCAGAAGATGGATTTAGAAGATTTAGTCTTGCTTTTTAGCTTTATTTTTAATTGCAAATTTTAGATCTACTCATGGTCGTTTATATCGAATATAGAAATACTATCCATGTAACATAATATTGTTCTTAAGCAACCGTTTGTAGTGTTAACTCAATACAATAATTACTCGTAGAAGTCAATAATTTGTTGAATGAAAAACACATTTTTAATAGACTACATTTTATGTATAGTCGAATAATTGCAAAAATAAAATGTATGAAATCTATTTGGATAAGTAAGAACGCAAATCGTTGTGAAGTAAACGTAACCATCATTCTGGAACACACTGTACAAACAATATAGCTGTTGTTACAATGATGCGGTCTAGCAGTAGCGCAACGTACTGGGAAATTGGTCATTTTAGCGCAAATGTTTGGGGAATGCATTAACATTTAGTAGAGAAACCGCGGTATTTGTGTTTGGATGCATAATGGCTTCCTAGTTCGGTGCTAACGGTTAAACGCGGTTGCGTTTAATAATCGTTTGCAATATAATGGCTACAAGCAAACACAATTAATTCATAGTAGGTGTAATAATGTGCGTCTATGTATTCACTTGAACACAAATACTTTGACACAACATTAGCTGTGTGATAATTGTGGAATGTGGCCATATGTGTTTACACGTCATAAAATAATGACGAAAAGAAATGGAGAGTTTCTCCAACTGGAATCTAACTAAATACTATAATTATCGCATATTTGATTTACAACCTTTTGTGTAGTTAGGCGGGTTTGATCAATATTTTCTGTCATCCTGTGCCGATATTGACTCTACATTTGGAAATAATTTCAGGGTTCGAAAGGGTTGAGTTTCACAAACACTTCTGCGGTTCTAATCTGATTTTGAATCAGTAGAGCAATCAGGATTAATTTTCGATAGGGTTTAGGTGCAAATTATAGTATTCATCGGGTGGTCATTGGAAGCGACGAGTTACTCCCTCGATCTCTTGTTGCGTCAGTCCTTTATCCAATATTAAGTGTCCAGACTGTGTCATATAGCTTGAATTAGCTATTTGCGCTAGTTCTTTTATTTTTTTATTTATTCGTATAGTATAATACGTCATAAATCAATGTTCTGACGGGTCCGTATGGACTTTTCAACATAAGTTTAGCCACACATTAATGTACATTGTGGGTAATGGTAACGGTCCTTCTCTTCGACAATCGCTACAAATGTTCTTTCGACACCCAAAACAAAATAGCCAATCGTAATTAATTGTATTTAATTGTAATTAATCATTGTAATTAATTAAGAATAGGTCCTTGCCTTTACACTACTGATGTACGTACGGGAGAGGCAGATTGGTTTGTATCGGTTGCGCCATCCGTCCGCTTTGTTACAATATTTTTGTGTGTGTTATCGTTGAGTATGTCTACCAATGCACGCCTTGGAAGTTTTTTTCCCGCAAACGGAATCCGGCAATGACTTTGACGAAGCAACAATATTCACCAATCTGTCCATCTCTGCCCCGATAGTAGAAACAAACACCAAATAGGTTCAGTCATCTAGCTTTTTATTGTTTTGGCTTTTTTGAATGTCTTTTATAGTACCGAATCCACCAGAAATTCTAACGGGCTTCACTGGAAAATCCAGCGGACTTATTAACAAGAATATAGACAAATCGATACTATAGGCATAAGAAGATAAAAATCACAAATAATAAACTCAACGTGGAAACAATAAAACAATAAATTTTAATGAATTTTAGATTATCTTATAAGTTAAAAAGTTGTTCTAAAAACAGATGGCTGCGATATGAGCATTGAGATTCGGTTGTCAATCTGCATGAAATATATTTTTATACTGACGTTGGCTAAACCTTAGGTAAAGGCTTTTCGTTAAAAATAAGGCTACATATTACACAACCTGAAAATAGTTTTTTTTTACCATAAGTGAAAGTGATGTTTTGATTTCGGAAGTCACCTGGAATTTTGAGAACGGAGAAGTCAGAAATTTGGAGGTACAGTGATTGCATACATTTTAGTGTAATCGTTTCTAGAAAGTTCTGGCTATATTTTAAACGGTTGGATTTGAGAGGTCGTTATCGATTTTATTATACCAATTCAAATTTATGAAATAAAAATCATGTCATTAATTTCTTTTAAATTTTCAATAATTCCCCACTACAAACAATTATGCTGTGGCAAGTTTAGTGAACTCAAGATTAGGTCCTACTTTTAAGGTACGTTATAGCCCGAGTACCTTGTAAAGAGAAATGCGAATATAGTAATGACCTTACATGGACTTTAAAAGCTTTAAAAGCTAGAAAAGAAAAATAAGAAATCAGTAGAGGATTTTTCTAACGATTAAATAAATGAAGGTTAGACAAAAAAAATCATTGCTTTCGTTATGATCAATTTATATTCTTAGCTAATTACGGCAGTGCTCTGATAGTTTTTGAAAAAGCTTATGTTATTTTTTTCCATTCTTAATAGTCAACGCCCAATAGATAATACAGTGTAACTTGTGTAAAATGTAAGACCAAGGCATGTAGTTATAGGTGGCATGAACAGTAGCAATAGCTCTGCTCTTAAG